TGGATGGAACTAGAGGGTATCATGCTTAGCGAAATAAGTCAATCGGAGAAAGACAACTATCATATGATCTCCCTGATATGAGGGAGAGGAGATGCAACATGGGGGGTTAAGAGGGTAGGAGAAGAGTAAATGAAACAAGATGGGATTGGGAGGGAGACAAACCATAAGTGACTCTTAATCTCACAAAACAAACTGAGGGTTGATGGGGGGAGGGGTGTTGGGAGAGGGAGGGTGGGGTTATGGACATTGGGGAGGGTATGTGCTATGGTGAGTGCTGTGAAATGTGTAAACCTGGCGATTCACAGACCTGTACCCCTGGGGATAAAAATATATTATATGTTTATAAAAAATAAAATTAAAAAAAAATTGTATATAGAAAAAAAATGGGGGTAATACTAGCACCCACATTATACGATGGTTTTGAGGATTAAATATGATGAACATATAAAGCAATTAGCCCAGGAATTCATTACGTCAATTATTACTCATAATTATACAGATGTTGGTTAGCACCAAACAAGCATTATTAGGTGAAATCTCCTATAGGGCAAAGAAAATTAACCTTTTTTTTTCAAAGCTACCATAAAATCTCTTTAAACCCATCTAATCCCTATTCCTATGACTCTGCTTAATAATCAACTCTGTAACCATTAACCTGGGTTTCAGATTAATTTTAAAAATGGAGAGTAGTCTTGAGTGGGCAGGCAACTGGAAAGATAAACTTTTCACTATAAGATTTTTTTTTAGGTTTATAAATAAATTTTTTAAGACTGATTACTCCTAGTAGGTAACCCAGATTCTGAGCAAGTCTGGATGCACTGACAGGAACAAATTTTAAAACCTTAGAATGAATTTTGTCAATGCTCTCAAGATACTGTCTACCTAGGAGATCCTATCTGGGCTGCAGGATGCCTTCCAGGGACTGCTATTGCAACAACACAGTCAAACCTGTTCTCTCTCTCTCTCTCTCTCTCTCTCTCTCTGTGTGTGTGTGTGTGTGTGTGTGTGTGTGTGTGTGTGTTATGTAAGCCACCATACAGTACATCATTAATTTTTGATGTAGTGTTCCGTGATTCATTGTTTGCATATAACACCCAGTGTGCTATGTAATCCGTGCCCTCCTTAATACCCATCACCAGTCTCACCCATCCTCACACCCCCCCTCCCTTCTAAAACTTTCCATTTGTTTCCCAGAATCCATAGTCTCTCATGGTTCATCTCCCCTTCCAATTTCTCCCCCTTCATTTTCCCCTTCTCCTGTCCTCCATGCTATTCCTTATGTTCCACAAGTAAGTGAAACCATATGATAAATAATTGACTTTCTCTGTTTGACTTATTTAATTTATCATAATCTCCTCCAGTCCCATCCATGTTGATGCAAAAGTTGGGTATTCATCCTTTCTGATGGTTGAGTAATACTCCACTGTATATATGGACCACATCTTCTTTATCCATTAGTCTGTTGAAGGATATGTGGCTCTTTTCACATTTTGGCTATTGTGGACATTGCTGCTATGAACTTTGGGGTGCAAATGGCCCTTTCTTTTCACTACATCTGTACCTTTGGGGTAAATGCCATCTGTATCTTTGGGGTAAATATCCAGTAGTGCAATTGCCAGATCATAGGGTAACTCTATTTTTAATTTTTTGAGGAACCAATTCATGGAAACCAAAGAGAACAAAGACGCATTGATCCAAAGCCTATGGGATATGGCGAAGGCAGTCCTAAGGGGGAAATGCACAGCCACCCAAGCCTTACTCAGAAAAACAGAAAAATCCTGAATATGCAAACTATCTTTATACCTTAAAGATCTGGAGAATCAACAACAAATTAAGTCTAACCCACACATGAGAAGGGAAAATTAAGATTAGAGCAGAGATCAATGAATTAGAAACCAGAACTATAGTAGAACACATTAATGAAACTAGAAGCTGGTTCTTTGAAAGAATTAATAATATTGTTAAGCCACTGGCCAGACTTACCCAAAAGAGAAGAGAAAGGACCCAAATTAATAAAATGATGAATGAAAGGGGGGAGATCACGACTAACACCAAGAAAATAGAAACAATCATCAGAAATTATTATCAACAGCTATATGCCAATAAGTTAAGCAACCTAGAAGAAATGGATGCATTCCTGGAAACCTATAAACTTCCAAGACTGAAATAGGAAGAAACTGACAACCTGAATAGATCAATATCTAGTAACGAGATTGAAGCCCTGATCAAAAGCCTCCCAAAAAACAAGAGTTCAGGGCCTGATGGATTCCCTGGGGAATTCTACCAAATATTCAAAGAAGAAATAATACCTATTCTCCTGAAGCGGTTTCAAAAAACAGAAACAGAAGAAAACTTCCAGACTCTTTCTACGAGGCCAGCATTACCTTGATCCGCAAACCAGGAAAAGACCTCATCAAAAAGGAGAATTTGAGACCAATATCCCTGATGAACACAGATGCCAAAATTCTCAACAAGATCCTAGCTAATAGGATTTAACAGTACATAAAAACCTCTTATGTAGGAAACAGCAAAAGGACTACATGGTAAAGCTATAGAGAACACAGAATTCTCTATTTTTGTATCTGTTACTCATTAATCAGTAAACACCTATTAAACGCCAATTGAACTAAATTGATTATGCAATTCACACACACACACACACACACACACACACACACACACAGCCACACCCCCATACCTTAAACTTGCACTATATTTTATTTAAGAAATTCTTACTGTGGTTACAAAGAAAGAAGTATTTCCAGTAATACAGAATAATACAGAAGTAATTCTATATTATAGAAATAATCTATAATATAGAAGTAATCAAGTCTTCTCTATTATACTTCTCTGTTAGACCAGTGTTATAGTCTTTAATGGATTAAGTAATAACCTGACAAAAAAAAAATTGGGAATCTACCAAAATAAATTACAGGAAACAAGAAAAATACTTTGTGACAAAAGGTAAAAATCCAGTCAACGTCAAATGTTTGCAAAATATAAAAAGAACAGAGCTGCCATAGGAATAAAGATAACTTTTGTTTTTTATTCCCATACATGTTATATACCCACTGCAGAAAAAAACCCCACTGCAGATAACATTTGGAAAAAAGTTCAGTGAATTGTCTCAACGTGGGAAAAATACAGTTTTTCAAAAAAACACAGCAAACAAAGTTTTCAAATCCAAAGGCAGCCTCGATCTACCTCTATCCCATGCAAATGGATATACTCTAAATAATTTTAAAAAAGAAAGATGTGATAAAAGCTAAATAAATTACTGATTCTAAGAGAAATGAATTTTTCTCTTACAATAAATTACCAATGTGCTTCCCCCATGCCTTTGATGTCATATCTTAAAAAATATCTTTCTGATTTTTCCTTTACATCTGCTTTCTTTTGTTCATATATCCTTTCATTTACCTGAAGATGACAGCTATGTAAGATGATGGAAAAGAAAAGCTACAAGACTGAGTTGATTCCAGGATGTTAACTTTTATAGTATGAAGATCAACAGATTGTAGGAAACCTGTTCTTTTATCTGTAAGTCAGTTTCTCTTAAATCTGCAAAATCATTTTTTCATGTAAAATTTTAGATAGAGGACACTTCTTCCTAGTGAAGAAAGATTTTCCTCTAATTTTCAAAACTCAATTTGTCTATTTCTACTTCTTTTTAAAAACTGGAACATCATACATTATTCAATTAAATTAAATGTTAAAACACACAGAATTATAACACTGAAATAAACTTACTAATTCATAGTGTATATTCTAAAATTTATACTGAGAAGAATAAAAATATTTCTCTGCTATTCCAACTAAACCTGCAGTCTGATATACCTGAAATTCTAATTTTCTCAAGAGAGAAAAGGAGAGAAAGTAAATACAGTCCTAACTAAAGGTGCCTCAGTGTAGCTCCTGACATGTTTGGTTTAAAACTGGTCAAGATTCCTATCAAAGGAGGAGAGAAAGGGATAATATTTATTAAGTGCTAGGCACTGTGCCAAAAGGTGAGAACACAACAAGGAACAAGTCTGCACAGTCCCTGTCTTCAAGGAGCTCAAGGCTAACTCTAACTAAAAGAACTACTATGGTCAAAGAGCATAAATATTTTTAAGGATATTTAAGCTTCTCCATACATCTTACCTTTGAGAAAGACTGTGTAGTAATTTATAAATAACAGGATAAATAGCACAATATCTTTAACTAAGCATCCTCCTCCTCATTTTCATAATCTATTTTCCAGTTTTATGGGCAACACCTGGTTTTTGAGGCACTTATTTTCTTGTAGTGAGATAACAGACCTTTTAAATATGCTTAAGGAATATCTGTATCCACTCTTTTTGGAAGTAGGTACTTATTATAATTTTATCCATTTCTTTGTGGAGGTCTAATTTTCTTTATTGTTTAGTTTTGCATATTAAGGAGGCTGTTCCTAACATATTTTATATAAATATTTTCCCAGGTTGGTGTTTGTTGTGCTTGTGTGTGTTGTACATATGCATACATACGCTTCCATTTTTAAACAGCAAAACAGGTCTTGGGCTGTTTTGTTTTTGTTTTTGTTTTTTTAAAGATTTTATTTATTTAGTTGATAGAGAGAGATCACAAGCAGGCAGAGAGGCAGGCAGAGAGAGAGGAGGAAGCAGGCTCCCTGCCGAGCAGAGAGCCAGATGCGGGTCTCGATCCCAAGACCCTGGGATCATGACCTGAGCTGAAGGCAGAGGCTTAACCCACTGAGCCACCCAGGCGCCCCTGGGCTGGTTTTTATAGAAGTATCAGTTCAAGAAAGCATGTAGGTTATCCTAAATTGGTCTATTTACTGCAATGAGTGATGTCAGAACAAACACCACAAAGGAACTATAAAAGCACAAGAAAGCCTATTTTAAAATAATTAACTTACTTTGTTGAATTAGTATTTATTGTCACGGCAATGTGAAACAGAATCAACATTCTGTTTTAAAATTTCCAACTTCTCAACTGCATAAAATTATTATACATACTGTGACAGAATCGAGTCTCTGTTTCACTTGCTGCATCCTCATTGAAGAACGTTCAGCATGGACACAGTCATCAATCTGAAAAGAGCCTTGGTGAAGCCCTTTAGGATAGGTGCATAAAGCATCTTGACTTTGGTGTATTCCACGTAATGGAAATGTTCCATTGTAGCATTTGAACATTTCAGCCTCTTGCTGGGCAACTGGAAAAATAAATCCATAAATAGTTCAAGTCAATACAACAAAAGCACAATGAAATAATTAAGCCATGAAATTACAGCATTAAATAAATGATCAGAAACCACATAATACATTTTAAAAACTGGGTAATAAGAAAACAACATGACTGACAAAATGGGAAGTTTTTAAAATATTATAAAAACACAAAAAAGGAAAAAATAATGTCACAGATAATTTACGTCAGGCAGTATTATCACCGAGCCTTGAAGGCCATGGCAATCTCGGTCTGGTAAGCAATAATCTGGGATGGGAGCCTAATTTATTTATACGTATACAGAAAGTATCTAATATAAAAACTCAAAGGCATACAGAGTAGAACTAAAGGAAAGGCAAGAATAATAAAAATAATTATTTACAAACCCATCTCCCTAAAACAACTGTTTTCATATTTCTATACCCCTCTTAATCTTTATGCATATGTACATTTTATGCAAGGTACCATAATGTGAATAAAATGTAAAGTTTTTCAATTTAAATACAGACATCTTTCATATCTTTACTACTCTGTAATTACCATTTTTAAGTCCTTTACAACAACTCATCTAATGAAGCAGTTATTTATTTATGCATTCTTCTTCTATTACTGAATATTTACAATGTTTCGTCCTCTCTCATTACAGACCATGTATGTAGGAGTACTTTCATAGTTTAAATTATTTCTTAAAATAATTTTCTTTGGATTTAATTATCCAGCATGGAATAAATGGTCAACAGGGTGAATGTTTTTGATGATGATGATGATGACAAGGACAACAGCATATATATTGCACTTTATGGTTTTTATTTTTATTTTATTTAAAGATTTTATTTATTTATTTGACAGACAGAGATCACAAGTAGGCAGAGAGACAGGCAGAGAGAGAGGAGGAAGCAGGCTCCCCGCCGAGCAAGGAGCCTGATGTGGGGCTTGATCCCAGGACCCCGGGATCATGACCTGAGCCGAAGGCAGAGGCTTTAACCCCCTGAGCCACCCAGGCGCCCCTGCACTTTATGGTTTTTAGAGGGCTTTCACATATATTATCTCATTTGATCATTTAAACTAAAGGAATTTGAAAATTTGTAAGCACCTGTTTGAATATTAAAAGGAGAAAAAAATATACCGTGATCATTTAAAAAGTATTTTAATTATATAATTTTAAATAGAAGGCCTTTCTAAACATAACATGAAAAGTAACTGATATAATCAAGATTTGTAATAGGGAAACAATAGACCAGACTTCAGGGATTCTGTGTACTACTGAAGTTACATACAGAAATATGAATGTGTATAAATGTTTTTGGAAATCAGATCTGTACTTTTATCAGATTATTTGTCAAAGGACTGCATGAGTCAGAAAATGTTAAGAATTGTCAACATAAAAGATGGACAGATTTTGCTACATAAACATTTACAGAGTCTTCATTAAAATAAAAAAACTATCATAATCAAAATTAAAAAGCAAATGATAAGTAACACAGTTCTTCTAACTCTGGCCAAAGTAAGAGTAAAAAGGACCAGATGTGCCTCCTGCTTGACACTACCAAAAAGGAGACAGAATGTATAAAAGGAAGAAATAAAACCATCTTTCTTTACAGACAGGATCATCTATACAGAGCTAAGATGAAGGCGAGGCAAGTGAAGTACATGAGGAAAAAAATTTAAGGAGACTTGCTCAATCTCAGGTCCTGGCCCCACTTTGTGTAAGAAATCTGAATGGCATCTAAACAATGAGCCATTAGAACTAATAATCAACTTTAGGCAAGGTTCCAGGATACAAGAGCAGTAAGCAGAAATAACTCTATTTCTATATTCAAGTAATAAAAAGAAATTGGAAATTTAAAAGATATATCATTTACAATGCTATAAAAATATTTCATACTTCAGGAAATACTGATGAAGGATATGGGGGCGCCTGGGTGGCTCAGTCAGTTAAGCATCTGCCTTTGGCTCAGGTCATGATCCCAGGGATAGAGTCCTTCACGGGCTCCCTGCTCATTAGGGAGCCTGCTTCTCTCTCTGCCCCTTTGCCTCCACTTGTTTTCTCCTCTCTCTCTCAAAAATAAAAATACTTTTAAAAAAAGGTGTGGAAGACATGCATACTGAAAACTATAAAACTGCTGAGAGAAACTGAAGAAGAACCTAAAATAAAGAAATATATTATGTTCATGGTTGGACTAATCAGTGTTGTTAAAATATCAATTCTCCTCAAATGACCTGTACATTCAGTGTTATTCCACTCGAAATTCCAGTAGGTCACTTTTGGAGAAATTGTCAAATTCTAAAATCCACACAGAAATGCAAAGAACCCAGAAGAGTTAAAACAACTTTGAAGAAAGAACAAAGGGGACTTGTACAACTTGACTTCAAGTCTTACCATTAAGCTGCAGTAATCAAGACACTTCATTATTGGCATAAAGATAAACAAATAGAACAAGAGAACAGAGAAGAGCCTAGCATGTATGGACAAGGTGTAAAGGGAATTCCATGTAAAAAAGATAGTCTTTTCAATAAATAGTGCTAGAACAATTAGATACTCATATGTGAGCAAATGAACTTTGATATATACTTTATACCATGTATAATAATAACTCAAAATGAATCTACATGTAAAACATAAAACCATAAGACACTTTCATAGAACACAATGGAGAATATTTTTGTGAGCTTGGATTAGGCAAAAGTTTGTAGATACAAAACCAAAAATCCATATAAGAAAAAAATTGGTAATTTTGCACTTCATCAAAATTTCAAACATTTGTTCTTGAAAACTGTCAAGAAAGCAATTAGAAGGCAAGACAAAGACTGGGGGAAATGTTTGCAAATTATGTATCTAACTGAGCACCGCTTGTATAGAGAAAACCTAACTGTTAATTAAAAGTCAATAGTCAGAAAACGAAGAAGCCAATTAAAAAACGGGCAAAAGATTTAAACAGACACTTCACTGAAGAAGATAAATGGATAGCAAATATGTACATGAAAAGATGGCTCAACATCATTAGTCACAAAAGATAAACAAATTAAAACCACTGTGAAATAGCACTGCCCACTTATGAGAGGGGCTAAAATGGAAAAGACAGACCACTTCATATTTAGCAAGTCTAGGGGTGCCTGGGTGGCTCAGTGAGTTAAAGTCTCTGCCTTCAGCTCAGGTCATGATCCCAGGGCCCGGGGATCCAGCCCCATATGGGGCTCTCTGCTCAGCAGGGAGCCTGCTTCCTCCTCTCTCTCTGCCTGCTTCTCTGCCTACTTATGATCTCCGTCTGTCAAATAAATAAATAAAATCTTTTAAAAAAAATTTTAGCAAGCCTATGGATATACTGAAACATTCACACACTGTTGGTAGGAAGGTTAAATGGCCTAACCACTTTTTAAAAAGTCTGGCAGCTTCTTAAGAAGTTAAATGGTCATCTTCAATGGGATACAGCCCTTCTACTCTTAGGAATTTCCTCAGGAGAAATGAAAGCATGTGCTTATACCAAGACTTGCTGATGCATATTCTTAGCAGCTTATTTCTAATAGTTAAAAGCTGGGTACAACCCCAACACCCATCAACAGGTAGGCAGAAAAACAAACTGTGATAAAAAAATGAAACAATACACAGAAATAAAAAGGATGAACTATTGATAAAATCTAAAATATAGATGTCTCAAAGTAATTATGAGTGACTGAAGCCAGACAAAAAAAGAGTACATGGTATAAATGGTTTCACTTATATACAATTCTAGAGAATGGAGATTAATTCATAGTGATTGCCTAGGGGAAAGAGGAGGTAAGGAGAGATTTCAAAGGAGCACAAAGTAACTTAGAGATGATGGATATGTTATCTTCATTGAGATGATGGTTTCACAAGTGTTTAAATATGTCTACACTTATCAAAATGTACATTTTAAACATACAGTTTATTGCATATCATTGTACTCTAATAAAAAAGCTGCTCACACTAAAAAAAGCAAATGACAGCTAGTGATAAAAGGGGTTAATATTCTTTTTTTAAAAAAAGATTTTATTTATTTGAGAGAAAAAGAATGCATGCATGTACACGCACAAATGGGAGGAGGGACAGAGGGAGAAGGACAAGCATTCCCTGCTGAACGGGGAGCCAGATGTGGCTCCATCCCAGGACCTGGAGATCATGACCTGAGCCAAAGTTAGATGCTTAATCAACTGAGCCACCCAGGTACCCTGGGGATTAATATTCTTAACAAGCAGAGTCCCCATAAAATGAATTAAAAATAAATAGTCTAGCAAAAATGGGCAGAGGACCACTATAGGAAATTCACAAAAGAATAATTATGTGGCCAATAAAAAAATGTATTCAACCTAACGAATAAGAAGGAATAAAGGGGGGGAAAAGGAAAATTAGAAAGTGATGGGTTCTTTTTAGTTTTTTTTTTTTTTTTTTTTTTGGCCTGATTCATTGAACTTCAAAATACTTTTTCCTAAGAAATAAACTGCATAAGAGTAGCCAGGTGTGTACTGAAGTACTGCTTAAAATACTGAAAAAATATGTAACAGCAGAATTGTACAATATTCATTTAAATAAATTATGGTATATACATTTAATAAAGGGAATTCAGACACTAAAATTATATACAGAAGTATAACTGCCATGATGAAATATTGCTAAAATATTATTAATTGGAGGCAAATAGTTTATAAAGCAATATAATGAATATACAAAAGGATCGCTTTTTTTAGTCACAACCTTGGTTGCAACACCCATGAATGTGAGATAGAACTTATTAAAAATTTTGGGTCCTTGATCACTGTATTCATGTCCGACTTCATTTACACACTCTAACTAAAGCACAGCTCTGTAATAATGGGCACTCCCTCCCTGCAGACCCTGATGAGGTAAGGGCCGGGCACCATTATTAAGGGAGAAGACCTGCTTACAATCCACCCTTTCAGAGACAGATGTTCGTTCCTCAATACCAATTACTGTTCTCAGATGGAAGTGTAGCTGCTTCTATACTTAGATTT